GGTCTGGTACATACGTGTACATGTATATGCGTGAGGTGGCATGCCCTTCTTCATGCTCATCTATACACTACGCTAAGCTCTTCCATCTTCCACCGTGAGTGAACAAAGACCACACTACTACTGTGATCTGTATCTTTCTGTTGTGTGTGGGTGGGTGTGTCTGCGGTGTACGCAGAGGCCAGCTAGCTGGCAAAAACTTTTGATACTTCTCATTGTGCCTGTGGAGCGTCGGCCGTAAAATCGGCCTAGTGTGAACCAGGCTTAAAGGGGAAGTGCATCGATTCTTCGAGTAGGGTCCAGAGGAAAGACAATTTGATATCGGTTCGAATGGCATATCTCTCGCTTCCATACGATACGCCAAACTTGCCAAGTCGCCAATTGTCTGCTCACGTTGCCATAGAGACCAGCGCAGTGATGACGTATGAAAGGCATAGCTCCTCCACAGAGAAGGTTGATCACTGCAGAAATTGGTCATTTTCATTTGTTTTATTGTATTCACGATGTGAAAGAAGTGGTTTGTGAACTGCCTGAAAAGAGAAAAAACGCCAGACCCACCAGGATTCGAACCCGGTCCTGGTGGGTCTGGCGGTTTTTTCTCTTTTCAGACAGTTCACTTCCCCAACTGATCCTTTGAATTTGAAGTTCTCCCAATCCTTTCAAAAATGTATCACTCTTTTTCACTTAAGTTCTAGTAGAGTCCAGAAACTGACCGTGGTTGGTCCCGAGGGGGAGGGAGAAAGACCCAAGTGCCATCAATATGTGTGGCACGTTTAGTGAGCTGCCTTTGGAGTGAAAAACTTGTCAGCGCCTTCTAGGTTCAGCCCGGTCCCATAGCTCAGTGGTTAGAGCATTGCTCTTGACAAGCAAGGCCCCGGTTCGAGTCCTGGTGGGTCTGGCGGGTTTTTTTCTCTTTTGAGGCAGTTCACTTCCCCAACTGATCCTTTGAATTTGAAGTTCTCCCAATCCGTTCAAAAATTTATCATTCTCTTTCACTTCTGGTAGGGTCTAGACACTGACCGTGGTTGGTCCCCTGGGGGAGGGAGAAAGACCCAAGTTCTATCAATATATGCGGCAAATGTTGTGAGCTGCCTTTGGAGTTAAAAACTTGTCAGCGCCTTCTAGGTTCAGCCCTGTCCCATAGCTCAGTGATTAGAGCATTGCTTATCGCAAGCAAGGTCCCGGGTTCGAGTCCTGGTGGGTCTGGCGGTTTTTTCTCTTTTCAGGCAGTTCACTTCCCCAACTGATTCTTTGAATTTCGAAGTTCTCCCAATCCTATCAAAAATAATATAATTATGAAATAGTTGTTGCGACTTCGGCGATAATTGTTTAGGAATGGATTTGCTGACTAGCTGGTTTGGAGGTGACAGTGTTCTGAATGACCGAGGGTCTTCTACGTCTGCTCTCACCGTCCAAGAGCGACATTGACTCACGCTGCTATTTGGTGTTCACGAGGTGTTTGTCGCGCTGCAAACAGAGCGTCTCTGTAAGTTTGTATCTCTGGTGATGTTTGTGCCTGGAGAGCACTATTATAAGTCGTGCTCTTCAGGCGCAATCTTCCTCAGCCTACTCAAGCTCAACTGATGAATTCCCCGAAACACTGTGTATTGAGCAGGGAGTGTTGCCTTCTTGCAGGTTCGCCGAGTCGAAGGTTCGATGGACTTCTCTTGTGCTCTGGATGGCAGTCGTGAGTCAGTCAAGTGTCAAGTCAAGTCGGCGGAATAGCACGAGCTACAGTGTGGGAGCAAACCTAATCCTAGTATAATTATGTACAACCAAATATTGTTATACTGTTCAGCACAATGTTTTAGCGTAAGTGCAGTTTGGGGACGGAATCTTATCTCTTTTTGTCATAGTCCCGCCACTATTCACACCTTGTTTTCAGGTAGATTGGGTATTTTGTGTGTATGTGTGCGTGTGTGTTTCTTTGCTAAACGCGTGTAAGTGTGGGTATGATTCGGAGTGTGAGCTGGTGTTAGCGCGTGTGTGTTGGTGCGAGTGTGAGTATGAGTGTGTGTCTCTTAGTTTTGGCATGTGCATGGGTATGTGTATGTGTGTGCATGTGCGGAAAGGATGGTGCAATTTTATCACGTTTGGTGTAGTTTCGTTCCACATTGTGTTGCCTGATATGGGTCCACATCACTTGTCTTTCTTCTCAATCATTGGGATAGCCGAGCTCATGGTTGAAAATTTGACTGAGACAATGTAATTTGCAGCAAAGAGACCAGTTGATTTGGAGAAGGTGTATGTACAGTTTTTCAAGTGATGAAGTGGCTGTAGTGGAGCTTGCTCACATTAACACATATACATTGTAGAACAATCAAAACAAAATATCAGTAGTGGCGACACCATACATTCAATATAAATTATATACATTGTATGCCACAGAAGCTGGCCATTGTCCAGGACATGATTAGAGCGCAGCAGTGTGGGGTGGTGGATGATTATGGAAGATTAAAAATCAGTGAATTACGTACATTGTGCTTTGTTTCCGAAATTGATGCTGGGCGTGCGTTGGGCTACTTGACTCCTCTACTCCTAAGTACGCATCCATTTATTTACAACTTGAACATACGTCCAATTCATATAGATAATATCCTAACAGATGTACCGGGGTGAGACATACGAACCATCAAGATTGGCTTCTTACTGGCGCTTACATATACATCGCGTTCCTCAATCAGCGTGTAATCATTGGACAAGTGCTCAATGTTATAGGTAATCAGCGACTCGCGAGAGCGTGATACATGTATCGTCTCACCAGCACAGCATCCAGAAATAGGAGTTGAGGAGGAGCTATTTTTAGCGGAGGATGCAAGTATCATTTTCATGTTCTGATCACTCTGTCCACAGTCCCACGTAAACCCTATGTCTAACTGACTGGATGTGCAGTGCACAATTTCTATTGCAACTGCAAAATAACGTTCTTGAATAGGTTCTAGGGCTCGGATACTAGCAGTTCCATCCTCAATTTGACACAGGGTGACATGCGTGTATGCTACGTGTTCAATAGAATAACTTAGGCATGGTCGTATAAATCCTTTCGGAGAGCTGTGGACGTCACCAAATGTAATGGACCTGCATCCGTAAACCAAAAGTTTGGCATTCAAAGGGCTGCATGTGCGCAAATCGTCGATCAACTCGTATCCTTGCAGTTTTGGCAATGGACGAGGACTATCCAAGCGCATTTCCAGAAGGAAAACAGCCGCTTCAGTACACTGAACGTGAGCACGCACTTCACCTTTGCTATAACCTGATATCGGCACGGCCACTGGGATCATCGTAGCTTGGATTTTAGTTGCCCAGATTTGAATACTGCAGACTTTCAATGCGGGTTCAGATATGGGATCACCTTGCGAATTGTTTACCAAAGCTGTAATTTTCGTCTCCTCGCCTACATAACCGATGTACATATTGTTCTGATCGGAAAATGCACACCTGGACAAATCGATATGAGTGTTGTTAACGACCTCTCCTGTAGTGCCGATAATGCCTGCCAAACCAGAAAGGTTCTGGCACTCAAACGCTAATCTCCGCATCAGAGAATAATTCTTGTCGCCGAAGTACTGCAAAGAACTTCTAAGAACTTCAGTCAAGTGTGGATGGATTTTGAGGAGATCTTCATTCCTCAGAGAAGATTTGCTGATGGCCTTCAAAGCATTGGGTTGGAAGAAAACTCCATTGCACTCGGCAAATGTGTGAGCCTGTAGCTCCCGTAACTTCTTACTTTGCAATTCCACCTCGTTCATCAGGTCTTCTTTTCGTTGCTTGATCCGGTGAAGTTGCTCGTCGCAGTGTTCATGTATCAATCTCTTGATATCAGCTACTTTTCCTTGCAGGTCACAGCCAAATGCTTAAATGAGATCACCAGCGCGTTTCATGCCTGCTTCCACTTCTTCTTCCTTGTCTTCGGGTGATATCTTTCTCTGACGCTCCGTCAGTCTCGTACGTACAACTGCAGCTTCCGCACTTATATCGCGAATCTGATTTGTATGAGAAGCGTGTTTGCTTTGGAGCTTACACTTTTCACACAGAACCTCTCTACATTTGGCACACTAATATCGCATGGTCATCTTGCTGTGGACAGGACAATGGTGCACTCGCCCCTGTCGAGGTATCGTTTTCCGGCAACTTTGGATGGAGCTGCTTGAATCTGGTGGAATTGTATCAAGTTGCATCTCTTCGCAATTACGAAGTGGATGAACTTCATCTACAAGATCACATGGAACATTGTCGAACATGGAATCGTCCACCAACTGCTCTTCGTGACTTCGACCAGGAGGTGGACATGGCGTAGGACATCGACACTTGGCACAACGTATTCTCCCGTCTCGCTGAACACTGGCTGCCAGGCATTCCTTACAGATATTGTACAGACACGTGAGGAGTTTGCCTGCTTTATCGACTCCATCTCTGCAGAATACACACGGTGGCCGCATCATACAGTCGCACAAAATAAACTGACCAGGTATTATACGTCGCTGAGAACAACATAGCTTAGAGGATGTGAGGATTTCCTTTTAACGTCACTGAGAGGAATATGACCAGAGTATGTGAGCTGAGAGATACCACCGTCATACATACGTCCAGCGCCATGTTGGTGCACCACTTACGACTTTTAAAACAGGCGAAAGGCTAAAGGGACAAGCTTATCTATTTTTGCGGATTTTCCATCATAAAAAAATAAACGTCACAGCCAAGCCTTCGTACGTGGCCGCGTCGCGCGACCGCGATACCGATCGGAAGCTCCGGGACACTTGGCCGTGGCCATTGCAGGGTCGGACAGATGACGGATGCATTTCAGCTTGCAGTCTCGTCGCGTACACGTACATACATACATTGTACAACAATACACATTATTTTATGACCTGAAACTTGAAAGGTCATTGCGGCGGGAAGGGAAGAATACCGGTAGTGACAGACGACGTTTTGTTTTTTTGGTTTTGTTTTTTTAGATGGACACGTTTTGGTTTTGGTTTTTGTCCTGATCATGATCCGATATGATGGCAAACGAGGTTAGAGTATTAGATGGAGCGGAGGAATTGGAGGATTTCCTGAAAGTTGCCCTACCACGCGCTAACTTTGTAACGAGGACCACAGAAAAACCGTTCTCAAACAGGTAAGACCCACCAAAACGGAGCACGAAAATGCTGTCTTCATCGTGTTTATGTTGGTTCCAAAGGAGCAGTGAGTCGTATAATTCATAGGTTTTGAAGAGAAGAATATGCAGTGTGCATTGCCCTACAGTAGTGCACAGTGCATTACAGCCCTGCTAGCGGATACACGTAAATGCATTCACACTTGCATAGAGCGGGACGATTATAAATTAGTTTTGATATCCACTGCCAGTGGCGTGTCCAGGATTTGGCTGAGGGGGGGTTGCGGCCGGGATCAAGGCGGGATGGGGTGGGGGTAAATGACATCATGCTACTGTCCCAGGTCAGCCATTTTGAAAACCAATATCAAGAAGCTCCTCCTGTAGCCCCCTTCTTCAACAGTTATTCACCCGAACGGCCCCAGAGACTGTTCCGGAGGATGAGCGCACCACACGGGGACAAGTGTCGAACTTGCTTCAAGTTCCCTTTCTTCGTGGGCCTGCGGGACGATCGACCATGATGTTTTGGGGAAGCATTCTCTGGAACGCTCTCCCCTCTGATTTTAGAGTGATACGTGTCCCTGGTCCCTTCCGAAAAGCTCTTTCTGCCATTGATATACTTTCTTTGTGAATATCCTCGTTAAAGGGGAAGTATACCCTAAAATCAAATTTTCACCAGTTGTAGTCTTCTGGGTGCTGAGTCGAATGGTCTTGGTCCGAGGAAGCTGCGACGCTCCCTTCCTACTTGAATCCCAATCGAACTCGCGCACTTCCACCGAAACTGGGTGACTGCGCCCTACTAGATGGGGATTTGTATGCAAAATGTCACTAAAAGCGCCATTTCGTTCTTATAAAAGCACGGATGACCGCGATTGGCCCATATGTTGTAGTCTTTTGGACGCTGAGTCGACTGGTTTTGGTCCGAAAAGGCTGCGATGCAGCGTTCCTCCTTTATTCCCAATCGAACATGGTTGAACAAGCGGTCACGTGCTCCTGCGTACACCAGTCACCTGGTCACCGTGCCTGCAGGGTACAACTTACTAGCCTGTTTGACCTTTTTTGGGTGCAGTCCTGTCACTCGAGTTGAACTCGAGTTGAACCTTGGTGTGAAAGTTGTCGCCTGCTGGCGCGGTGACCAGGTGATTTGGGCACCCAGGAGCACGTGACCGCTTGTTCAACCATGTTCGATTGGGAATAAAGGAGGAACGCTGCATCGCAGCCTTTTCGGACCAAAACCAGTCGACTCAGCGTCCAAAAGACTACAACATATGGGCCAATCGCGGTCATCCGTGCTTTTATAAGAACGAAATGGCGCTTTTAGTGACATTTTGCATACAAATCCCCATCTAGTAGGGCGCAGTCACCCAGTTTCGGTGGAAGTGCGCGAGTTCGATTGGGATTCAAGTAGGAAGGGAGCGTCGCAGCTTCCTCGGACCAAGACCATTCGACTCAGCACCCAGAAGACTACAACTGGTGAAAATTTGATTTTAGGGTATACTTCCCCTTTAAACTTTTATTATCTGCCATAAATTCCAACCTTCTCATCTATCACATTTGTGCATGCATGTCTATAAAATCAACCACGTGTTCCTGACTCCATGAGATTGTCTTTCTATTCTTTGACTCCATGAAATTATTGTCTTTCTATTTCTGACTCCATGAAATTGTCTTCATATAATTTTTCCTTTTCTTCTTTTGGTCCTTTCTGTCTTATAATAATTATTATTATTATCATTTCTTGTTTTCCCTTGCATATCATCTCTTCATCATTCTGTGAGAACCTGTCCTATGGGCAGGTGAGAAGGCATCTCTGCCTGCTCATTTGGTGAAGTAAAATAAACAACAACAACAACAACAAGCCGTAAATCTCACACACCATGAGCAGTATTTCTGTACACGCAGCAACAATGTACATTGTAAACTTCAAATTTGCCGTTATGTGAGCGAATCAACTGCAATTATTTATGCGAGTCCAACAATTTCTCACCGCTCTCAAAGAGTCAAAGCATCCTTTACATAGGCAGCGCTACTTGTCACTGTGCGCTGTTCTTCATGTTCTGGCTGCTCGCTGACAACAGGTTCTTCCACGCGTCTGGCGGAGTGTGACTGTCAGTCCGCTCCGAAAGTTCAACTGGAATAACCGATAACAGCGACTTCATCACTCCCACTGTTTCCTGTTGGAGCGGCAGCAGGAGTTGCGCCGCCACAGGAACGCTTTACAAAAATTCCAGGCTCTGCTGGCTAGAGCTTGGCCTTTTGGGATGTCCCTGAGACATCGAAGAAAAGCCTTCGAGTCAACCAAAACACGATTCGAACGAGGATGATCGCCTGAGCCCTCGGCATTCGAATCGTGTTTTGGTTGACTCGATCGAAGACTTTTCTTCGATGTTTGTACCGTTGAAGACGCGTCGAGCGCGTCCCAGCGCTGCAGCAGGGATCACACTGTACAACAGTACACACAGGTCACCGTGTTTCTGTAGCCGCGCCGTGCATGCTCACTGTACGTAGACTCTACTCTGTAGACTGAGTCTGTACTAGTCTGTAGTGTGTACAATCAACACCAGCTCGACCGTGCAACCGCTTTTGGACGATCGTTTCAGGCCGCGCGCGCCCCGAGCCTAGTCTAGCTCGACCCGGCGCCCTGCCTATTATTTTTCGAAACCTAGGTCGAAATTTTTGAGGGGGGGGGCGCGCGCCCCCCGCGCCCCCCCCCCTAAACCCGCCACTGACTGCACCCATCCCACATACTGTAGTGTCGCGTATAAAAGGCATGACCTGTATAGAAGCATGACTCAAATAGAAGCCGATTTTTTTGAAGCCCGCTGTAACACAGTTGGTTTGAATAGAAGCCGCTCCCTGTAAAGTACATGTGCGAGTACATGCGTGGCAGTATCCACTGCACAGTGCAGAATGATGTTGACGTAGAAGCATATTTCGAATAGAAGCATAACTTGAATAGAAGCATGGTTTGGACCCCGGTTTGCTGTTATACGCGACATTACGGTATTAGAAACATTGGAACGAAGTATGGCAAGGATGCATCAAAAAAATTGATGGTCATGCTGTCTGTTAGTTCGTTGAGCAGGGTACGAAACCTTACACCCAGGGTGCTGAATCATGTTTTGGGAATCAGGCTCTAATTTGATTCCCTGTTGAGCAAGAAGACCTCACATCCACTGTATTCCAACACATAACTAACCATTCTCCAACGCATATCTTTGCAGTGTACATAGCGTCGTCACTGGATTAACAGTAATGACTGCTGGTATAATTATAACGTCTCGTACATGTATGTGTGCTATGTCCACAAATGTTGCAGTGTTGAAGAGATCTTCAAGGAGGCCATTCTGCGTCCAAAGGGGTTCATATGGAGCCAGGAACGTGGCACGAGCTGTGCACCGATTCCTTTTGATGGAGTTCCGTTCGTCTGCTGTGGCTTTCGCATACTAGAATGTCAATTTGGGAAGCACAGGTAATGGAATTAAATGGGCAGGAAGAATCTGAATGTGATCTATTTCATGCAATTGCTAGTTATCAATGAGAACAGTTGTACTACCTCTTGATTCTTTTGCATCATCTTTGTCAGTGACCAAGTGTTGTTGTGTCGGTAACATTACAGGTGCCACACCACAAAATGCACCGAGTCCTCTGATGATGTAACGAGTTCAGCATCTGATCATTCTTACCCCAAAGCCTCAGCTGATAAGAAGAAGAAGAGGATAAAACTCCAAGGTCAGAAGCATACCCAGAGTCATGGTTATCTTTTTGGTGCACATTGCTGTAAAGCTAGGCATCGGTTTTTTTAAATTGTTGTTCTACATGTCATCATGTCAACTGCTATACAAAGATACGAATAAGGAATCTTTGCCACTATCCAGCTGTAATGCACCCAGCTTATAGTTGTACTGCATGTTGATGTCACTGTGGTATGCCCTGTAATTCTTATAGGGACAAGAAAAATTGGATGTGAGGCATCGTGCAACATTCATCGCATTCTGCGACTCCCCGCTTATTCGGTTGACTCAACTGGTCTTTCTGCTTCCGCCTTGGTAAAAGCAAAAGCGGGTAAAGTGAAGGAGCTTAAGATATCTATTTTGGCTGCTCTCGATGCTGGCGACCTGTCCAAACTCAATGTGTGCGATCGGTGAGTTATACTAACATTATAACATACCTTTTTATGTCATAGTGCGAAAGTAATTGATTGTGTACAGTGATCGGTAGTTCATGTATGAATGCCACACTTGCCATGTAAGGTACGTAGGCCAATTAACCCAGTTGTATGGTACCATAGTATGTGTAATGTACGTAGCTCTGCAGAATCACCAATAAAATGTCTTTCACGTATGTGCATGCCCACTAGGTTTATCGTGAGCTACCCAACTGAGGGTAGTCACAGTGGTCATGATGTCATTACCGAGAAAGGTAAACTCGCCAGCGAGCTCAGCCAAAGACTCAGTCAGTCGGTTATCGACCGAATTCTCCAACTCGTCGAGAGTGGTCTACGAGATGCCCGGGCTATCCAGACCATGTTCAAAGTGGAGTATTGGCATGTAAGTACTTCCATAGAGAACAATCTTCAGTGCTCAATCACCCAATAGTCACTTGATAGCTTTCTGTACGCATTCTTGTTGCTGTGCACTGACCATTGTGGTTAGACGGTAGTTAATGCACGTGATAACTTCCTGTGATAAAGGGAAGGCAATCTCCTTTAATACGACCTATGTCGGATATGCATTGTCTACTGCCCAGGAATTTGGCCGGGCGTACCACCCAGAGCTAAAGGACATCCGCTCCCACATAGCCCTGGCTACCCATAAGCTGCAGCAATCTAGACTGGACCAGACTCAGATGGCTCACAAGGTGAGTATGGATACGAAGATAAACGGTGTTCGTGCATTCTGTTATCAATTCTAACCTGCTTGGGTTACATCAGACATTTCCCAATTCAAGCGATACTACAATATTTTGGCGAAGAATAAAATCAATACTGGAAGACCTGATATTTTAACGTCAATTAAAGTTAGCGATCTCTGGATTTTGTTGGTCAACGCAACGAGGTGAAATGTAATGACTGTACACGTACATTTTTGCACATAACCTTAAGCATTCGTTAACATTAGTGGTTTTACAGGAGTACCGATCCACCTGTTTTCTTTTCCTTCCAGGTGAAGGCATGGTCTGAGTCCCCCCGCCCACCTGCGCTTATGCAGTTCCGGCCATATGTGCCAGATTCAGAACCATCAGAGTGCAGTGCTGCACCAGCTCTTTCCTTGGAAGCTGAAAGTGACTTGGAACCCAGTGATGGAAGGTACATTATAATAATTATATGCTATTTAGTATCTATTTAATATGCCTGCAACTGCTCCTTGCAAGTGCTGATTGTAAGTGCGTGGGCTCAGAGCAGTACCAAAATTAACAACAGCCGGAATGCCCTAACAAAGCTTTGTTGGCCATTGACATTGGTAAGCGACTTTTGCCTTTCTAACAGAGACTTGTTGTAAACCTTGTGATGTTGTAAATTTCTGACACAGGTATAAGGGCAGCGGCGGCGGTGATGACGAACCGCTAGTGGATCCCGTGCCAGCCTCTTCACGCCTCCTGGTAATACACCAGGAGGTATGGCAAAGAGAGCTTCTAGTAAAGTATGGCGAGCTCGTTCTTATGGACGCTACATACCGCACAACGTGCTATGACCTGGCCTTGTTTTTCCTGGTTGTGCACACTAATACAGGCTACATCGTTGTGGCAGGTAAGTGGCTTGCAATGATGGAGAGTACAATACTTCAATTACTGTTCACGATTCATGGTTCCTCTCAGTTGTCTTTTTGGCTTGGAATGATGGAGAGCACAAGACTTCAATTACTGTTCATGATTCATGGTTCCTCTCAGTTGTCTTTTTGGGCTTGGCACCCTCAAAGAACATGAGTCTTCTTTCACCATTTTTAAGTCTTGCAAAGGAATAGCAGTTTTCCTGTCTGGTTTAATTTCACTGTGTGTAGAATTCTGTGTGCAATCCGAGAAACACGCTGATATAGCTGAAGCTCTCACTATAATCAAGCAACGGACTCCGTCTTGGAAACCTAAATTCTTTATGACGGATTATTCCCAGGCTGAGATGCTTGCACTGGAGGAGGTAATTAGATTGATTTATTTAGAATTTTTTGAGGTGTGTGCATTATTAAACCGGCTCACCTTTGTGCATAGTTCAGTACGGTTATTGTTTTCATTATTATAAGCTTGTTCGCGTTGGCATCACCAAGCAAGCTATGGTTGTTGGTTAGGTATGATTACCATATGAGAATTTAAAAAATAAATGAGTAGGAGGTCCTCGTGGTGACAGTAATTTTTCTTCTGACTTTTCCCGCTTGCATCTTTCCCTCAAACCAATGATTAAGTAATATTTGAAGTTTGTAACATGGAATTGTGGGCACGAGTTATGCGATCGAGTCCACCAACTAAACCAGATTTTTAACAGTCAGACGTGCACAATCTAGCACAAAACTGACAAGTGCCCACACTTTCCATGTTCCAAATTTTTCCTTGGCTCACCATCAGAGTTCTTCTAGTAGTAGAAGGTCATTATTTTTCCCGCAATCTTATTTTCCGCATGTATTCGCATGTTTCTACGTATCTTTGTGTGCTTGATGGAACTATAGGTTTTCCCTGGAGGGAGGATATTTCTCTGTGACTTCCACAGAGAGCAGGCTTGGCAGCGCTGGACCAAAGACCGTTCCCACGGCCTAAGTGATGATGAAGCCGTAACACTGCTAGAAAGCTTGCGACAATTGGCTTATGCTTCACCGTGTCGAGAGGCGGGACAATCTCCAGAAAAGTATGAGATTGAACATCTTGAGCCTTTGCATTTGTAGAGTTTTTCGTTAATTCAAGTTTTGAGTTCCCCTGATGTTGCAAATGCTTTGTGGTATGTACGTATAATACCATGGATTTGCTCCTGTGTTTCAGACACTACCGTGAAGCGGAATCAAAGCTACGTAGTCTTGATGTGTGGTGCGCCAATAAGCACGTGCGAAGTTGGCTGAATGCCAAATGGCTCTCAATCCCAGAGGTACATTTGTGTTATTATTATTATATTAGAGATCCTGCAGCGCAAATGCGACATTACTATTGCATATTGCATAACTAAGCTCTGGCTGCTTCTCGACAATGTGCTGAACAATGTTCTTTAGAGCACGGGAATATTCGGAAGCGCACATACCTTTTGGTTTTCAGTTTCTTCTTTCTGACACCCGGTTTGTTTTCAAATAAAGGCGAAGATCAGCAGTAGTAGTAGCAGCAGTAGTAGTAGTAGTAGTAGTAGTAGTAGTAGTAGGAATAGTTATTAAATTTTGATTGATTAGTTTTTATTGATTAGTGTGTCCGGAGTTGGATGGCTCGGAGGGTAGAATGTACTTGGTTGTATCTGAGAGTGTTCGGTATTGTGTTCTATTTCATACAGCGGTGGGCCAGGGCATGGACAGAGCGTGAATACCACCACAACGTGTTTACGAACAATGGGATCGAGGCCCAAAACAAGGTTCGCATATTTGGCATAGCGGATTAAGCCGGACTGTACACATGCACATGTCCCTGTGTTTATCTAGTTACATCCGAGATTGACTACTAGTATGTCACCGAGTGTTTGTTTCTTAGATGTAAGGCAATTATTCGTGTCAATACAAACATGTTCTCTTTTCTCACAATTATATCTATTCTTATCTGATTGTCTTCTTTGAAAGGTCCTGAAATATGCCTTCCTTAAAAGTAACAACGGCAAGAAAAGGACGCTTAGTGATACCTTCACCATCATTATTGAGCAGTTCCTACCTGAGCAGCGAGATAAGTACCTGAAGAAGAATATCATGCAGCTGAGCTCCTTCCGAAGGTAAACGTCTTCACTGTTATGACCATATCCACATTTCACGTCACTGGCATCTAAATTGTACACCCCAACTCCTCTGTTTGGACACCCAATGTACAGTACATGTACTGCTTTACCTCTGTACGGGAACTGTTATTTGCGTTGTGTTTCTTCAGGTACAACGACTACGTACCCGTATACCTACGCGACCGGCCCAGGAATGTCATCCTGCACTGCATGGAACGCGAGCAGTCTTCTCAGGAGTACTTGCCAGGTAGGTCTTTCCTTGTTGAGTGCCCACAAAACGAGGTAACGAGAGCCTGTTTTCGCTGTAATTGTTCGTTATTATAACGCTTCACGCTCTGACCGATCGCCAGGCCTCATGTTCATTGTACCTAGTAGGCTTTGGTTTGAAATATTGTCCATAATCTGTACTGCATATGCATCTCCTTGATCTCAGAGTTGCAACAAACAAGCCTCGCTCCACTTTTGTGCTGTGCAGGTCATGGATGTATGAAAATCTGTCACGGTTTCACATGTATTCTAGCAAAAGGAACTTAAGAAAGTCCATATCGAGTCACCCATCCACCAATCCCTTTGAGAACTACTTATCATTATTTTCTCCTCTTTCCCTGTAGAGAATGTTGAAGCTGTTGGGGATCACCAGTATAATGTCAAGTCATTTGGGAGGACTCGTCTCGTTAGCTTTGAAACACCCTCATGTTCTTGCGAGGACTGGAATCTGAGAGCCCTACCGTGCAAACATATGTTTGCCGTATTCAAGAATGTACCCGGCTGCAGCTGGGAGTCGCTGCCCGAGACGTACTGCTCCAGCCCCAAAATGACTCTAGACATCGATCTTGGAGATGGTGAGGTTCATTCAGAAGATTTGGAAGTGCCCGAGCAGGTGAACAACTCGCATGAAGTTGGAGCCCAGCTGTCAGATCCAGTTTCAAATGAAATTCCTTTACACAGGGTAAGTTTGTTTATAGCTTAATGTGCTTTTTGAGCCCTTTTCCCTTGCATATAATCGCCTGAAAGAAAATCATTGAGTAACATTTTTACAAAGGCTACGTGGAGACAATAATCTTAATAATAATGCAATGCGTGAAACTATAGGCGCGCTATGATAGCATGGGACATTATATCCGTTGCTATGACTGTGATATGAGTGCGCCTATTGCATAATTAACGTTTGAAAACTTGTACATTATATTCTCCGACAATTCTGATCTTTCTATTAATTTTTTTTAAATTTGCGACTACTTTCCTTTTGTACAGACACAACAGCAACAAAACCAACTCTCTGCAAGGCAAGCACGAAACATGCTCAAAGTAATCGATGCACAGACCTTCGTCTGTACAGACTCAAGTGCTCTAAAAAATCTCTGCGCTCAACTGGAGAAGCTGTCAGAAGAACTTGCGAAAAGTCTGCCCACTGATGAGTCTGGCTTGGTTATCCAAGAGGGTATGTATAGTGTCGTTAATCAAGATAAAAAATTGTCGATTCCGCAGATATGGATCTTGTGTGTGCTAGTGAGCTGGTTTCATAAAGGTTTGTTGTTCGCTAGACTTTGATGTAATAGGCCTGGCCAGTCACTTGAGTTCCGCTAATGCCACCAAACAAGTCTAAATAGCTAGCTATCCAAAGCCGATAGAGTACTGTTTGTGCTATTCTGTATGATTTCCTGCACAGCGTCTTCATTCACCTTGAACCAACACTTTAGCGCCAGGCGCAGACTGCACGAAACATATAGCACTGCTGTCCCTGATCCAGCCTTGGAGTCAGGGCATGCCAAGCGTGGTCGACCTGCAGTCGAAAGACACCTCAGGTGTCGTGTCGGAGTTTCCGGAGAGACTGAGCGGAGGCAGTTCCTACAAGCTCAACAGCGTGAGAAAGGTGTGTGGTAGGCTTTCCTTTCCCCAGTTAATTTCATTTGCTTCCTTCCCCACTTAATTACATTTTCTTGTAAGTTCTAGATGTACGTTTCCCCCCTATTATAATTCACGCGTTATTTTCCTTGCCAATTTATGCCTCAAACATTTCTTACAGCCTCGACAAGACCTGGTTCCGTCACATTGACAGCATTGACGGGAAGCAGTTCAATACAACAGGCTGCAGCTCCCGAACGTAAGTGGCGATGTCTTCAGTGTGCATCTGTACACTGTACAGCCATTGGTGTTGCTCGGTGTAATCCACTCCAATAATATATAATAAGTATCTGTTCATCCATATCATGTTTTGATTTTGTGTCCAGCTGCCCCATGAGAGCAAAATCATGCTAATGTGTTTGTGTGTGTGGGTGTGTATGTATGTGTGTGTGTGTGTGTGTGTGTGTGTGTGTGTTTTTGAGCTCTGCTGGTTCACAAGTTTGCTTAGCTATAATATCCCCAGGGGTGGCCTAGGGCCACCCCTGGCTAGGTTGTGAGTATGGTGCGTGGAGACCTGGGAAGCAATGACGGGGCAACGCCTGATGTTGCCACTTGCAACCCGCCACGTACCCACAACACCTGCGACGGTTTTGCAAACCTCCAGGTAGACCCCCTTGCACGAAGTAGGAGACGGAGAAACGAAGCGTTTGTGTTGAAGTTTTGTACCTGGAACGTCAACAGCTTAGTGGAGAATGATGGAAGCATCGAGACAGCTCGTCACGAAAGAAGCTTGCCCGTCGCGGAAGACAAAAAAATTCAAATTGTTCTTCACCAAATTCAAAATTTGAATTTCTCAGTCGCAGGTCTTCAGGAGACGAAATGGTTCGGCGATCACGAGTATTTGATCAGTGGAGCGTCTGTTCTAAATGCAGGACGCCCCGTCCCAACAGAGCGAGGAATGCCCGCATATCGCGGCGAGGGAGTTGCAATCGTTCTTTTAGGTTTGGCCCAACGAGCGTGGAAAAACGGCGGGTGTCAGTGGCGAGCTGTCAGCTCGCGAGTTGTTGTGGCGAAACTGTTGTTTGGCGATCAGTGGCTGCATGTCATTTCCTGCTACGCTCCAACGTTCGCGAGGCCTCGCCATGAAAAGGAGAAATTTTATGGCGAACTTCGTGATTGTCTGTTATCCATCCCGGAGCGCGATTTGTACGTCGTACTTGGTGACTTCAACGCCCGTGTTGGCAGCAGCCCAGGTCATGAAGAGGACGCATGGAGGCAAGTGCGTGGTCCTTATGGCGTTGGTACCATGAATGAAGCTGGTGAGGAACTGTTGAGCTTTCTATCCATGTTCAACTCTCGACTCTGTAATACGTACTTCAAGAAAAAGGACATTCATAAAGTTACCTGGCAGCACCCACGTTCACAGCACTGGCACTGTATTGATTATGTGATCACCCGGCAGCGGGATTTTCAGCGCTGTACAGATTGCCGTGTGTACCGGTCTGCTGAGTGTGGGACCGATCACAAACTTGTTGGGCTAACGGTGTCACTTGGTTGCCGCCGGCGTTTCTACCCGCCAAAGAGCAAGGCCCCTGATCGCCGTCGCTTTGATGTATCCCAGCTCGGACCTGCTGACCCAACTGCATCAGAGGATGATGATTTAGTAAGGCAAGCAACTGTGGCGGAGTGGTACCATACCTCATCCGACTGTCTGCAAGACGCTGCACCAGGGACCTCAGTTCAGGATCAATGGATTTCACTACGGGACGCCACAGTTAAAGCAGCTACCTCTGTCCTAGGCAAGAGTCGCCGTCGTCAGCCAGATTGGTTCTCAGCCAGTTCTGCCACTCTCGAGCCTCTCCTTGCACATCGTAACACTCTATTCCAGAAATCTTTAGCAGATCCATCACCTCTGGTCCGGCGAGAGTTTGTCCGCGCGCGCTCAGCTGCAAGGGATGCTGTACGCAGTGCTAAGGAGGACTGGTTCCGTAAGACTGCGTCTGATGCCGAATCTAGGAAGTTTGGGTGTAAGGCTGTGTGGAACAGCATCCGGGATCTACAGACTGCCCGGCGTGGATTGATTCCCACTAAGTCGTGCCTGATCAAACAGACTGATGGCTCACCATGCTCGTCCGTTGAGGCACAGCAGAACCGCTGGTCTGAACATTTCGAAAAGCTGCTGAACCTTCCAAGCGGCTTTGTCCGATCTGAAATTGACTTGGTCCAGCAGCGCAACATCATGGAACACCTGGCCACCTCACCCACTGCTGAAGAGGCCCAGCGCTGCCTTCGCTATCTTACGAACGGGAAAGCTGCTGGAAGCTCCGGCATTCTACCGGAAATGGTCAAATACAACTGCGACCTATTCTATGCCAATCTGTTTAAGCTCATTACCGCGGTTTGGGAGGAGGGCGTAGTACCGCAAGATTGGGTGGATGCTGAGATAATACCGATACCCAAGAAGGGTGACCTCACTAGCTGCGACAACTGGCGTGGCATCGCACTCCTCGACGTCATTGGCAAGCTGTTCGGACGCCTGCTGCAAAACCGATTGCAGAAAGTCGCCGAAAGTGTGCTGCCTGAATCACAGTGTGGTTTCCGGAAAGGTCGCTCCTGCACGGACATGACGTTTGTTGTTCGCCAGGTTGTAGAGAAGTGTCACGAGCACCAATCCAAGGGATTCCTGGTGTTTGTCGATTTGAGGAAGGCATACGATTCTGTTCCGCGTGCTGCACTGTGGATTGTCCTGCTGAAGCTGGGAGTCCCGGAGCAACTGGTCAGCCTTCTGAAGTCTTTTCACGACAACATGACAGCCACGATCATCGTTAATGGTTCCCCCACTGAAGGCTTCCCAGTGTGCAACGGATTGCGCCAAGGGTGTACAATGGCACCAGTCCTTTTCAACTTGTTTGCTGGTGCAGTGATGGAACGTTGGTGCGCACGCGTCCAAGAGCGTGGAGTGTCTGGTTTTCCACTCCGTACCTGTGCCGATGGTCAGCTTTTCAAGAGATCTAAGCGTGGTAATGATATGGTCATCACAGATGGTGAGTTTGCTGATGATGCAGCCTTGTTTGCACCCAGCCACTCGGATGCTCAGCGTATGCTTGAGATATTTGCGGAGGTCAGTGGAGCATTCGGGCTGTCTCTCAACATGGCAAAGACAGTGTTCATGGCTGTTGGGCATCAGATCAACGACAGTGACCGTACCCCGCTAAGCGTACAAGGCAACGCCATCCAGCATGTCAGCCAGTTTACATATCTCGGCTCAGTGGTAACACCAGACGGACGATGCCACACCGATGTGTCCAACCGCATAGCTGCTGCATCTAAGGCCTTTGGCAGCCTCTACTCGGCAGTTTTTCGGAACACTTCACTAACATCCAAGACAAAACAACACACGTACACATGCTGTGTGTTGTCGGTGCTGTTGTACGGGGCTGAGAACTGGACACTGTTGCGTGCCGACATACGTCGCCTTGAACAATTCCACAACCGCTGCGTTCGTGTCATTCTCGGCATCTCGCGTTCCAAACAGTGGGAGGACCACCTGTCATCTGCCTCGCTGCATAGAATGTGCGCTACAGAGCCAGTTGCTGACATGGTTGCCCGTCGACGGTTGCAGTGGCTTGGCCACATTGCCAGGATGGACGACCACCGGCTTCCAAAGGCAGTGTTGTTCTCGTGGCTCCATACTCCACGCCCTGCTCATGGCCCCAGGCGTCGATGGCGTGATGTGGTGCGCGATGACCTCAAGGCGTTCTGTCTATACACCGGTTGGTACGACCTCGCAGCTGAACGTGGCGAGTGGATCCAGTCCATCTCGGATGCTATTGTTGCACGGCGTTTACGCCTTGAAACGACAGCCAAGTCAGTGTGTTGTGCGATCTGTGAGCGACTCTTCGCCAGTGAAAGCGGACTTCGGCGGCACAAATGCAGGGAAGAGCGACTGAAGCCGATCCATGAACAGGCCGGTGCTGTGTTGTGCGAAACGTGCCATCGTTGGTTTGCTAGCCGAGGTGGATTTGCTGTGCACAGCTGCTCTCCCAGTCTTGGTGACGCTCCAGTTCCAGAGATTGTTGCACCTCGCCCACCTGATTGCAGCCAATGTCATTATCACTGCCACACCTGTGACCGCTGTTTCCGGAGCAAAGCTGGGCACCGCCGGCACAACTGCAACCGCAGAACATGCAGCTCTGGCTCCGAGCGCCGCACCATCCCATGCCCGACCTGCTCTCGGAAGTTCACACGTCTCCAGTACCTGGCTCAACACAAATGCAAGAAGTAACTCTGCCCTCCTTGCCTCTTTGAGGCACTGCATCACCTTTAGGTGGCAGTTTCAAGGTATGTATGTGTGTGTGTACGTATGTGCTTGCGTGTTCGTGTGTGTCAACATATTACAGCTGCGCGTTTACTTCACTCTGCAGGAGCCACGTTGTATCCAATGCCTGCTACGTCTGTACCAGTATTCGCAACAGATGGGCTACAGCAAAGGACAAGATGCAATACAGGTATGCTGGTTTTTGTTTGCAGTATCCTCACAATTTTCCCTATTTCAGTTTTAAATCGGCAGCGAGGTGACAGAGTTTATCGTTCATTTGTTAAATAATCAAATAAAGCTTTCGGGTTTGTTCATGTCCTGTAGCTTGTAATTTATTTTTCTTCGCATATGTTGCACCTGCAGAATGGTAGAAATTGTGTTCTCTTGCATTAGTAATATTATGCTAGGCTACAACACTGTGTGTGCATGTTTGTGTGTGTGTGTGTGTGTGCATGTTTGTGTGTGTGTGTGTATTTGTATTTATGTGTGTTGTAGGTCCGCAGCAGCCTAAGTGCTGTAACCCCAGCTGCGCATTTCCGCAGCTACCGACCAAGCCGTGCCGCAACAACAACTGCTCTCATGTGTTTCACCATGTTTGCAGTACGCACGACATGGGAACATACTGCAGGCATTGTCGTGTGAACGATTGGTGATGCATGCTTGGGCGTTTGTGCGTATGCCGTATCCATGCCATCGACACGTGGACTTATGTAATAGGCCTTGTTATTTATTTGCTTTCCTGGAACCTTAGCTGGTACGCTCTCTTTGGCTTTTGTCTGTCACATTATTTAAAAGACTGGTGCATGCGGGTGCGTCAACCTCGTGGCTGCGACTGGATATCACGATATGCCTCCGTGTGTGTGTGTGTGTGTGTGTGTGCGTGTGTGTGTGTGAGAGAGAGAGAGTATGTCTAGGTATACGTGCGGGCATGCGTAAGGCTAATTGTTAGAAGTATGTGCATGCATGCTGAAGATTGTGTTGGTGCTTCTCTCTGCTCAAGTAACTGTATGTAGCTGGA